TGGACTTTGAGGAATACTGAGGAAAGTGTAGAGTATAAAAAATGTGCATCTTGGAAAATTCTGCATTATCAGAATCTAGAGGATACTCTTCCATGTTTTCTAATTTGATCACTAAGTCACTATACAGCCTTGAATGACTCACTTCATATCTATAATTCAGGTTTTAAAAAATCCTTTTAGTAGTTTAACTAATGATCTAAAAATTATTTGTTCTATAATATATATAGATATATTAAAGAATCATTAAAATGAGATGCTTTTCAGTATTTTATATTCAACTATAAACATAGGAATAATATCTGCAATTAAATTGATGCATATTGACTCCAAGAGATGACTTTACATAATTCATTTTGACATGTGGGCAGCATTTGAATGATTTTATTCATCATACAGAATACAGAAATCTGAAATCTGAATGGACAGCAGTTAATATGGATGATCCTTTGCAAGTGAATTCTCCTAGATAGGGGAAATTTTGTAATGAGGACTAGACAGGAACTAGATTCTATTTAGAGATTTTGGGATATCATTTTTGCAAGATAATATCTGTAGTTGCTGGGCAAAGTGAAAATACATTAAAGTCAGTATATATGAGAATATAGAAGAATATGTCAAAATGAGTAAACATTGAAATAATTATTTGTTTTAAAAAACTTTTCACATACATTCTTGTCCTTCTACAAACTATAGATTTTTTGTTTTAATGAAAATTTCTGTTTTTTTCTTTATCACATTTAATTTATCTTTTGTGTTGGAGAGTTTAAAAAGTGACCCACCTTTGTTTCAGATGCATTACTTTAAAATATTTAATATTATAAGATAAGATAGAATAGATAAAGGGTGCATTTTTGAGATAGATGGAGATAGATACATGATAGAACAATCTGGAATCTAGCTATCCAACTATTATGTACTTTAAGATAAGGTCACTTTAAATCTCTGAATCACAATTTTATTATTTAAAAAACATCAGCTGTGATTTCAAACTCAATAGAGAGTGGTAAAGATTAAATATAATTTAATTCTAAAACATATCCTGACACACTTTACATGACAACCTATGGAGATAGTCAAAAAAGTTTGTCTCTCCATTTTCTCTTCCAGATAGAGGCTTGTTTTTTCTCCCCAGCAAAAAACCATCATAAGACTTTTTTTTTTCCTCTAGTTCTTTCCTCTTATGTTGATATCATTAATACTAATGCATCAGTTCAGTTCAGTTCAGCTCAGTAGCTCAGTCGTGTCCGACTCTTTGCAACCCCATGGATCGCGGCACGCCAGGCCTGCCTGTCCATCACCAACTCCCGGAGTTTACTCAAACTCATGTCCATCGAGTCAGTGATGCCATCCAGCCATCTCATCCTCTGTCGTCCCCTTCTCCTCCTGCCCCCAATCCCTCCCAGCATCAGGGTCTTTTCCAGTGAAAAATCTCAACTCTTCGCATGAGGTGGCCAAAGTAATGGAGTTTCAGCTTCAGCATCAGTCCTTCCGGTGAACACCCAGGACTGCTCTCCTTTAGGACGGACTGGTTGGATCTCCTTGCAGTCCAAGCGACTCTCAAGAGTCTTCTCCAACACCACAGTTCAAAAACATCAATTTTTCGGCACTCAGCCTTCTTCACAGTCCAACTCTCACATCCATACATGACCACTGGAAAAACCATAGCCTTGACCAGACGGATCTTTGTTAGCAAAGTAATGTCTCTGCTCTTTAATATGCTATCTAGGTTGGTCATAACTTTCCTTCAAGGAGTAAGCGTCTTTTAATTTAATGGCTGCAATCACCAGCTGCAGTGATTAGAATCTTTTCAAGAAGTTTAAAATATAAAGAGATTGAAAATGTTTTATAAATTGAAATAGATTATTGTTCTTCCATTAGATAAAAGCAAAACAAAATAGAAAAATAAGTTATTTGGTTTTATTTTTACCTCAAGAAAAAAAAATCCTTTTTACATTAGACTTTGTAATTTTCAAGGCTGATATATTCAACAATTGATTTTGCTTACCTCTGAGACACAGGGGTCTTTTATATAATACCATGTGAGAATATTACAGTATAGAACAGTGCACCATGAATAACCAAAGAAAAATTCTCCATTGTCAGTTAGAATACATGGATTCAAATCTCAAGATATGATGTACTATTAATTATTTCCATTCATTGCTCATTTTTTCATGCTTAGAGTGTGATGAAATTACCCAAAAGACACTTTTTTAATAGGTATCCTTATATAAAACACTTATGATAAGAATCACAATAATTTCTTTTATAATTTCAAATACTAAGTTTTTAATCTATCAATAATTAAATGACCAATATAAATTGCATACTACGGTGTAATCTAATATCTCATTTAATTTTGAATCCAAATGATATATATAAAAAGAAATCTGAATTTTTCCATGGAAAGTTTTAATAGACCACATATTACTGAAGATCAATTCCTCTGTAAATGTTAAAGATCCTGCCATAGGTTTGCACAATATATTTGAAATAGAAATATGAGATACTTGCAGTTACATTTATGCTATATTTTTTGCTTCTTTATTGGGGCAAATTTATATGCTATAAAAGGTACCATTTTACCCATTTTAAGTGTAATTATTGTTGACATTAAGTACATCGACACTTTGTACAGTCATTACCAACATCACCCCAGAATATTGTTATATTGTTCAACTGAGACTGTGTATTCAGCAAATGCTAACTCTGCATTTCTCATACATCACAGTCTTTAAAACCACCATTCCATTTTCATCTCTATGAATTTGACTACCCTGGATAACTAATATATGTGGAATCATGCATCTGGTTTTTCATGCCTGACGTACTTTATTTAGCATAGCATCTCTAAGCTGCTTCTATCTTGTAGCACGGAGTAGAATTTTCTTCTTTTTTAAGATTGAATTATATATGTTCTGATTATCTATTAACCCATCAACCAAATTTTTAGTATTGTTTCAACTTTTCAGTCATGGTGAAGAAAGCTTCTTGGAACATAGGTATAAACATACCTCTTAGAGACTCTGCTTTCAGTTATTTTGGACATATATTCAGAAGGGCAGCTGTTGAATCATATGGTGATTCTGTTACTTTTTTAGATATTGCCATAACATTTTCCTAAATGGTTACACCATTTTGCACTCCCACCAGCATTACATTTACACATGTTCTAGTTTTTCTTACATGTTTGTCAACACTTTCCCTTTTAAAAAATAGAAGATGATTTGAAGATAATATTTTAAAAATAAAAAAGAAGATAGCACATCTCATAAAAGTGAGATGTGCTATCTCATTATAGTATTGATTTGAATTTTCCTAATAATCAGTGATGTGGAACATCTTTTCTTGTGTTTATTGGCCATTTGAATATCTTCTTTGAAGAAATGTTTATTCAAGAGTTTTCCCTATTTTAAATTAGTTTATTTGTTGTTACTGAGTTGTGTAGTTCTTTATCTATTCCCTATATGAATCCATCTTCTGATATATATTTTGCAAACACCTTTCCATTTTATGACTTGCTTATTCACTCTCCAGATAAATGTCTTCCATGCACAGGAATTTTGAATTTTAATAAAGTCCAATATATCAATATATATATGCTTTTGGTCACATACACTTTTCATATCCAAGAAAGCACAGTTAAATTCAATGTCTTTAAACTTTCTCTCTGTCATTAGTTCTATATTTAGTTCTTTGATTTTAGTTAATTTTCATATATAATTTAAGTCAATCACCCAGATTTTATTAACTGGACCAGTAAATCCAGTTTTCCAAGCAACTTTTGGTGAAAAGATCTCTAGTGAATGGCTTTGAGACACATATGAAAAATCTTTTTCTCAAATTTATGCATTTTTTATGCTTCTCTTTTATTTTGTTGGTTTATGTCTATCTTCATGTCAGTACTACAATCTTAAAATCATCATAGTTTTATAGCAAATTTTAAATAAGAAACAGCTAGTTATCCAAATCGGAGAAGGAAATGCAACCCACTCCAGTATTCTTGCCTGGAGAATCCCAGGGACAGAGGAGCCTGGTGGGCTGCTGTCTATGGGGTCATACAGAGTTGGACATGACTGAAGCGACTTAGCAGGGGCAGTTATCCAATTATTTTATGAGATGCTTTTTGTTATATTAAATACCTTAGGATTTCAAAAGAATTTTAGGATATGTTTTTATATTTCTATAAAAATAAACTCATTCAGACTGTGACAGATATTAACAAATACTTATCATATAAATATCAGAGAAGCGGAGAGATATTACACATGTTTTTTAAAAGTGCTTGCACGGATTTAACAAATATACAAGGAGTGCAATGTGTAGGTATTCAGGTAAAGGCTTACTTTAATCACAGCATTGAGAAACTCACTAAAGAGGCAAAACAGAGTGACTCCTTGTAAATTATACCTGACAATAAGGTTCATTTTAGATTTTACAAAAGATAGATCAAAATAATGTTTGACTTCTAAGAACCTTGGTTTGACACTTCTAAGTGAAGAGAACTAAAATATATATATATAGCTCTTCAGCATATTTGATAGGTTGCTGGTTTTAGAGGTAAGACTTAGAAATGAACTATGAAAGGGAAATCATATCTTGATAGTAGTAAACAGTTATCACTAATAATATTATACAATGTGTGAATTTACATTGATTTCCTATGAATATATTCTGAATATAGAATCTGAGATTATTGTTACTTGAGAATGGATAGGGCACTACAACATGTGCATTCTAATGATCTCATAATTAAATGGTTTTCTAATATTATAAATTTATTGGAAAACATTTTGTTCAAAAATGTATCTCTATATTTTAATCTTTGGCTCAAAAATAAGACTATTTTTTTCTAAAATTGATAAGTTCAGTTCTTAATTTAAGAGGTAAAAAGTGTTAAATAATATATTTTTATTAAAATAATAAATTAAAAATACTTTTTTGTTTTGAACCTAGCTTACTCTTCTGTCTGCCCTTAGGAAAAATTATATGAATGACTCATGGAAAACTGTAATCAAACATCAACTGATTTTGTCTTACTGGGATTGTTTCCCTCATCAAGATTTGGTCTGTTTCTTTTTATTCTCATTGTTCTCATTTTCCTATTGGCTTTATTTGGCAATCTTTCCATGATCCTTCTTATCTTTCTGGACATCCATCTTCACAAACCCATGTATTTTTTACTTAGTCAACTATCCTTAATTGACCTAAATTACATCTCAACCATTGTGCCCAAAATGGCTTACAATTATCTGTTTGGAAATAAATCAATCTCATTTATTGGATGTGGGGTACAGAGTTTCTTTTTCTTGACTTTAGCAGGTGCAGAAGCATTGCTCTTGGCCTCTATGGCTTATGATCGGTATGTGGCCATTTGCTTTCCTCTTCACTATCCCATCAAAATCAGCAGGCGAGTGTGTGTGTTGATGATAATAGGATCTTGGATAATGGGCTCTATCAACTCCTGTGCCCACACCACATATGCCCTCCATATCCCTTATTGCAGATCCAGGGCCATCAATCATTTCTTCTGTGATGTCCCAGCCATGTTGACTCTGGCTTGCATGGACACTTGGATCTATGAGTACACCGTGTTTGTGAGTACCATCCTCTTCCTTTTGTGCCCTTTCATTGGTATTGTATGTTCCTATGGCCGTGTTCTCTTTGCGGTCCATCACATGAACTCAGCAGAAGGGAAGAAGAAGGCCTATTCAACCTGCAGCACCCACCTCACAGTGGTGACTTTCTATGCTCCCTTTGTTTATACTTATCTACGCCCAAGATATCTCAGATCTCCAACAGAGGACAAGGCTCTGGCTGTCTTCTACACCATCCTGACCCCAGTGCTCAATCCTGTTATCTATAGCCTGAAAAACAAGGAGGTTATGGGAGCCCTGAGAAGAGCAATTCAGAGAATCTGCTCTGTAAAAACTTAAGACAAAGTTTTGGCATGAATGCTAGTACTTGGATATAAATCCATTTATCATCAGAATTCAATAATTTAAAAGGGTATTTTTCAATTAAATGCCAAGTGTAAAATTAATATAGAGGTGAAGAAAGTCTATCATGTTTCAAAAAAATTATCTTGCATATATAGAATATCAAGACTTAATCTTTATATTCTCCATGGTGTTGTTTCCCATCAGTTTCAAATGGTTTTCTTCCCTCATGTGTTTTCAATTAAAAATTTTCTTTGCAATGAAGTAATGAAAATGGAAATGATTTTAATTAACTAAAGTTATTATTCAACAGAGTTAGTTCTATTTACCATTTATTTTCCTAAATTTTTAAAACATGTTTTCTGGACGTATTGATCAAATTAAAAGACTTTTTGTTCTTTTCATGGTATTCCTTTAATTACCAATAACAGTTATTTTTTTCCTTCAATATGAGGAAACTTTGTTTCTGAGATTTAGCTGAGATTTCAACAGGGATTCTCAAGTCTTCGCACCACTCTAAGTGGAAAATGACAAGTTTATATTTCTTTTAGGGTGGTGAGTTTAATATCCAGCATATCTGGGATCAACAATAAGGACGAGGATACACCAATAGAGATTGAGGAAACTGAAGTTAATTATAGGATTGATGGTTTCAATGATTTAGTCTAATTAGTGGAACTTGGAAATAGTGAGGTCCTTCTTGCAAGCATCCCCACACTTGGAATATGCTCAGTTTACCTAAGTTTCTCCTACTGTTCTTATATTAGATAATGTTTCTCAAACGAGATTTTATTCTCCACTCATTATGTCACATAATTCTGTCAAACCAGGTTGGAGAAAGTTAACTTTCACAATCAAATTTAGCCATTTATATTATGATTATGTTACTTTCCTAAACAGATTTCCCACTACAGTAAATAAAACTCCATCAGCTCAAGTGAACTTCCAGGGTAAATCGTTATCAAGGATCAGTACAAAAATGCTCTTTACCTCTAAGATGTGGCAGGAGAGGGTAGGTTCATATTTTACATAATCTGTATGGCACAATACAAAGTGAAAATATGTGGCCTCTTGTTTCAAACAGCAAAAAATGATGTATTATTGCTGCTCAAATGTAGTTTTTTCCTCAAATTTATTTCATTAGTTATAAAACAATAAAAATTGTAAATGACATATTTGTGTCAGATTTTTTATCTAATGACATAGATATTTGTTTATGTGATATATTTATTGATTATAAGGTTTGGCGGTTCACTTTTTCCTGAATTTTCATCTGAATTTATAATTTAGAAACTTTATTATCTATCTACATAACTGAAAGTGATTTCAGTCACTTGTGATTACATTTTTATTATTTTCTTTCTTTTGTTGTTTTAAAAGAATCACTCTGCTTATGTTACCAAAGCTATTAAGAATGTTAATAGTTTGTGAAAATGTTGAGCTAAATTTAATAAATTAAATCAAAATATATATTTTTGGATGGAAAAATTTGATAACTCTCAAAAGGAATTTTTTTTATAAAAAGATTAATCTCAAGAAGCATTTTCAGCCCATCAATTCCAAGTCAATTTAATGTAAACCTAAGTTTAACTTAAATATAAATTAATCAGTGGTTCTTTATTGATTTCTGTCAAATCTATGGTAATTTGTGAACTTTGTATAAGAAACTAGAAGTGGCTTTGTGTTTCAAATGCAAGATGACACATTTTATCACTATAGCTTTAATTATAAATTAAGTTGATATTAAAAATTTTTTTGTCAGTAATTGTTTTCTGAAACCTTACAGGAAAAAAAGTATTATTTTCCATCAGTGATTTTTCACTATAATTAATTTTATATCTTTAAATAATGTTTAAATACCATTTCTACTTCTAAGCTTATGGATATTTGCTTTTCAATGTTTCAATAGTTTTTAAGATCATATATTCTCTACTCTGTGATGAATGCTGTTAATTCCTTGATATGCTTTATTGGAATGATAATTTGTGCACTCTTAGTTTGCAATAATTTACTGACAAATAATTGCTCCTAACAGACAAAGTCCCTTCTGTCTCCTAGGCAGTAACTGCTTCACCCTTGTTGTTGAACCTACAGTTGTTGTTCTCATCACCACCACCTTCCTTGACCCCTGTTTCAGTCCAACCAGTCCCTTGGATTCCTATGACCAAAGATCGTCATTTGTTTTGTTTGTTTTCTAGGTAAATTAATTACTAGGCAGATTGGGTTAAGGAAAACCTTTCATAATCTCTTATTATTAAGACCAAGTGAACAGGAAAAAAAAAAATTGTCTTTTAACAGAGAGAAAAAATTCTCCAGTTTTATACCAGTTTATTTTTGACATTAAAAGTCACCTACTTAATTAAATTCATTTCAATCATATCTATTTCTGGACACATAAAATTTCTTTCCAGACTCTTTTTCCATAACTCTTCTTTTACTGAAAACATACATCCTACTTTCCTTGCATATGAAGATGTTTCTCTTATCTATCTAGTAACTTTAATCACATATATTTGGACTTTTTTAACCCCAAGAAAACTTTAATTTATGGAGAAAACTAAAATGTATGAAATATAGACTGTTTTTATTTTCCCTTTCTAATGCTAATGTAAATTAGCATTCTATAGATTGGCAAGCTTGTACTTTTTATAATTTCTAGAAATGTGATTTTTCATAGAAAATTTCTGTGTGGTACCAAAAGTATCTATTGATAGTCCCAAATAGCTTAAGTTTCTCTGTAAAAGAAAGCCTATGTTCAGCAATTTTTGTTTCATTATTTTATCTTTTAAGGAAATAATCTAGATATTCAAGGAACTTAACTGATATTTAACTTAACTTACTAAAATTTAAGAGTTTAATTTAACCAGAGATAATTGGGAAATTAAGTACACTAGATATACCATAAAACTATTACTGCTAAACATTACACTAAAACTTCTTATTTATGTTTTAGTAATTTGTTCTTAAAAACCATGTTTGATTATCTTCCCCCCAAAAGTCAATAACTCTTCACTGGACATTGGAAAACCTCAACCATTATCCTAAGTGATTTTTCTGGCTGCCAAAATTTTTAAGAGAGAGTACAAGGTTATTTGAGTTTTAGTAACTTTCATTTAAGTATTATATTTAATGTCTTCTGAGGGAGGTCACCATTATCTTCCTTATCTCAACCATAGTTTAGCCCCAGGTAAATAGAAGGGAGGGAACACAGCTCCAAATATCAACAGAAAATTGGATTCAGTTCAGTTCAGTTCAGTTGCTCAGTCATGTCAGACTCTTTGCAACCCCATGCACGCCAGGCCTCCCTGTCCATCACCAACTCCTGGGGTTTACTCAAACTCATGTCTATTGAATTGGTGATGCCATCCAACTATCTCATCCTCTGTCATCCCCTCCTCCTCCTGCCATCAATCTTTCCCAGCATCAGGGTCTTTCCAAATGAGTCAACTCTTCCTATCAGGTGGCCAAGTATTTGAGTTTCAGCTTCAACATCAGTCCTTCCAATGAACATTCAGGACTGAGAAAATTGGATTAAAGATTTACTGAGCATGGTCCCACCCATCAGAACAAGACCCAGTTTCCCCCTCAGTCAGTCTATTCCAAGGAAGGTTTCATAAGTCTCTTATCCTTCTCCACCATAGGACAGAGAGAATGAAAACCACAATCACATAAAACTCACCAATCTAATCACATGGACCACAGCCTTATCTAACTCAATGAAACTGTGAACCATGCTGTATAGGGCCACCCAAGATGGATGGGTCATGGTAAGAGATTTCTGACAAAATGTGGTCCACTGGAAAGTGGAACGGCCACCACTTCAGTATTCCTGCCTTAAGAACCCCATGAACAGTATAAAAAGGCAAAAAGATAGGACACAGAAAGATGAACTCCCCAGGTCTGCAGGTGCCCAATATGCTACTGGAGATCAGTGGAGAAATAACTTCAGAAAGAATGAAGAGATGGAGCCAAAGCACAGGCTGGAATCAAGATTGCCGGGAGAAATATAAATAACCTCAGATATGCAGATGACACCACCCTTATGGCAGAAAGTGAAGAGGAACTAAAAAGTGAAAGAGGAGAGTGAAAAAGTTGGCTTTTAAGCTCAACATTCAGAAAACTAAGATCATGGCATCCAGTCCCATCACTTCACGGCAAATAGACTGGGGAAGCAGTGGAAACAGTGGCAGACTTTGAAAATCACTGCAGATGGTGACTGCAGACATGAAATTGAAAGATGCTTACTCCTAGAGAGGAAAGTATGACCAACCTAGACAGCATATTAAAAAGTGGAGACATTCCTTTGCCAACAAAGGTCTGTTTAGTGGAAGCTATGGTTTTTCNTAGATGGCAGCCCACCAGGCTCCCCCACCCCTGGGATTCTCCAGGCAAGAACACTGGAGTGGGTTGCCATTTCCTTCTCCAATGCATGAAAGTGAAAAGTGAAAGTGAAGTTGCTCAGTCTTATCAGACTCTTAGCGACCCCATGGGTTGCAGCATACAAGGCTCCTCCATTCATGATATTTTCCAGGCAAGAGTACTGGAGTGGGGTGCCATTGCCTTCTCCAGACAATGCCTTTGGAGGTATATAAATATCATATCTATAATGTACATTTATAGACATATGTACAAACGGAAAGACTGACACACACAAAGATCTTAAGTCATGAATCAGGTGTAACACACCACTCACTAGTATACACAAAACACCTGAATCCAGTTAAGTCTACTTGCAGATGGCCAGATTCTTTTATTATTTTTGGAGAAGACTTTAAAATCTGTACTTGCCTTTGGCAAGCAATTTTAAGTAAGTTGCTTTTTTTTTTTTTTTATCCCCTCCCATGCTGTGTGGCTTGAGGTATCTCAGTTCCCAAACTGGGATTGAAGCCAGGCCAGTGAGGGTGCTGTGTCCTAAACACTGAACCACCAGGGGATTCCCAAGAAGGCCATCTTTAATTAGAGTTTAGGCCGAAGAGTCCCTTTACCAGTTTGTGTTC